AGGGCTCACGGGCCCCGCGGGTCTGGGGGCACCAGCCCGAGGGGGGCTCCGGGCTCAGCGTGGGGCGGGCGCTGCAGGCAGCGGAATCTCCCCTCCCCCCGCCATGGCATGGTCCCCACCCTCCTCCGCGCCTGGGGGAGGCTCCCCGGCCTGCAAGCGCCGCCCCCGCCCCGGTCGCTCCTCCCCGCCCGGCCCGGCCCGGCTGTCTGCGGGTCCCACTCCGGCCACTTCCTGCTGCGCCGCCTTCGCCGCCATGGGGGGGAAGAACAAGCAGCGAACCAAGGGCAACGTGCGGGTGAGTCCGGGCGGCGGCCCCTCACCTTGGGGGGGGGTCCAGGCCGCTCCAACCCCCAGGAGCAGGGGGTTGACTGGCCCCTTCCCCAGCCTGTGCGGTGGGGGACGTCTAGGCCTGGGGGGAAAGCGGCGGTGTCACCCCCTTCCCTTCCCTTCCCCTGGTCTGCCCATGGGGTCCCAGCCCCACAGCCATGGGGCATGCGTGCCTGGGAGTGACACTGGGCCCGGGGTCTGCCCCACAGGGTGATCGGCCTTTGGAAGAGAAGAGCAGGGGGCTGGGACACTCCTGCTCACCTGAGACTGGAGATCTTCCTAACAGGTGTTACCCAGCCCAATCTAAGCTGCCAGGGTCAGGGCTGTGCTAGAAAAGGTTCACCAGTGGCAAACCCGGCCGGTGGCGATGCACAGTATATGGGCAAATAAGTGCTTTTCTGGGTGTTGTTCATAACCATTACCCCCAATGAAATAAACCATACTAACAAAAACATGTTTATGCTGGGACAACCGCAGCTACACGAGGGCTTTTGGTCGTATACCAATGTTGCAAAAAACCATATCCTTAGCCAACATGGCTACATCCCCAAAAATGTCTAGTGTAGTCTGGTCTAAAGAGCAATAGTGCTTGCTTACATGCTTGAGGGAATAATTCCTTCCTTTGCAGGAGTCGGTGGGTGGAATTCTGTGGCCTGTGTTAGGAGGCCAGGAGATCAGAGGTCCCTTCTGGCCATAATCTGAAATGTTACACAGGTTCACAGGCCATACTCTAAAGCAGTGGTTCTCAATATATTTACCATTGTGGGCTGCATATGCATCTTTCTATGTGTTACATGGGCCATATGTCCACACAATATATATACTAGCTGTATGGCCCTGAGGATGTCACATGGGCCACATCTGGTTGCTGATTGGGCCACAAGTGGCCATGGGCCTCATGTTGAGAACCACTGCTCTAAAGTCTGTTATCATCCACCAGGAAATAATTGGCTACCCAAATTTGTATGCCTGCTCTCACTTTTTTGTTAATTCACATGGGGACCATGACCTGCAGCCAACCGGTGTAAAACGAAGCAGGTAGAAAACCCTTTTATATTTAAATTGGGGATGCAGCTTGCAGAGACTCAGCAAGCAATGTGACCATCCTGAAATACAGTACTGCCTTCAGGCGCCTGTCATCTCCATAGGTGGATTCTTGTCTGCTAGTAGAACTGGCAGGACTAGCATGATTGCCTGGTGTAAGATGGTGACTTTTCATTGGGGCTAGTCATATGCGAAGTTAAGTATGTGCATAAATGTCTGTGGGCTCATGACCTCATTTCCTCTGTTGCTTGTGCAGGCCTTTTCAGACAGCTGTGGGTAAGAGACTTCTTTTAAGAAGAGAAAGATGTGATCACAAATTGGCACAGGTCTTGAACTAATGTAGTATCTGTAATTACACTTAATTTATTTTAAATGTACAAGTTTTCAGCTTCTGTTCTGTATAGGCTCTTCTAGTGCCACATCAGCATGGTATCTGAGGCCAAGATTCACAGAGGTATTTAGTTTCAGTGGAAGGTAGGAGCCTAGATATAGAACCCTGCAAATCTGTAGATATCCACTTTATATCTGCAGATATCGACGGACCATGTTTGTGGATTGTGAATGGAAGCAGATCCAAATTTTATATGTAGAGCACTGCAAATCTGCGGATATCCGTCGACCATGTTTGCGGATCGGATGCGGATACAAATTTTGTATCCGCACAGGGCTTTACCTAAATACCTCTGTGGATCTGGACCTGAGTGCAATCCAGAAGTGATGTGACATCTATCATGTGTGGTTTGTTCATTCTCTTCCCAGGGGAAGAATTATGTGTGCAGTGTAATGTTTAGTTTGGGT